CCGGGCGCCCGGTGTAGCTGCTTCTGAAGGGGGGGGGGGTGCAGCTGCCGTTTGCAGTGCCAGCCGGACTGCGGGACGCGGCGGCCGGGCCGCCCGGTGCTGAGCTGCCGTTTGAGTGCAGCCCCGTGCGTGGGGGCGGGGGCGCCACGGGCTTGGGACCTTTTGGCCGCCAGCCCACATCCCGGGCCGGGGCCGCGGGTGCTGGCCCGCCTTTGGGGGAATGGGGAGGGGGGGGGCGCGGATGGCACCCGGCCGTTTTCCGCCTGAGCCGGCGGGCGCGGCGGGGGCCGCCCGGGCAGCTGCAGCTGCCCTTTGCCAGAAGGTGCCCCCGCGACATGCGGACGCGGCGCGGCGGCGCCGCAAGGGAAATGCGCTACACCTTGCAGCGTTGCAGTGCCACGTTCGAAAATGCGGGGCGGCCGAGGGCCCCCGGAGTGGCACAGTGACAGCCCGGCTGATTCTGGAGAGTCGTTCGCGCCGGGCCCGCCCGGGCTGACTCGCAGCCTGCCGTTTGCCAGCCTGCCAGCCGCGACATGCGGGACGCGGCGCGCCGGGCCGCCCGGGCTGCTGCAGCCTGCCGTTTGCCAGCCTGCCAGCCGCGACATGCGGGACGCGGCGCGCCGGGCCGCCCGGGCTGCTGCAGCCTGCCGTTTGCCAGCCTGCCAGCCGCGACATGCGGGACGCGGCGCGCCGGGCCGCCCGGGCTGCTGCAGCCTGCCGTTTGCCAGCCTGCCAGCCGCGACATGCGGGACGCGGCGCGCCGGGCCGCCCGGGCTGCTGCAGCCTGCCGTTTGCCAGCCTGCCAGCCGCGACATGCGGGACGCGGCGCGCCGGGCCGCCCGGGCTGCTGCAGCCTGCCGTTTGCCAGCCTGCCAGCCGCGACATGCGGGACGCGGCGCGCCGGGCCGCCCGGGCTGCTGCAGCCTGCCGTTTGCCAGCCTGCCAGCCGCGACATGCGGGACGCGGCGCGACGCGACGCGATGCAGGGGAAAACCCCATTACTCCGTGTGTGTGTGTGAGAGGGTGGAGTGTTTTGTGTGTGTCTGGTGTGGGGGGTGTGGGTGTGTGTGTGCTGTGGGGTGTGTGTGTTTTGTGTGTGTGGGGTGTGCAGGGGGATGCCACGGGCTTGGACTGGCGCCAGCCACATCCGGGACGGCTGCTGGTGCTGCTGCTATTGGGGGAAAGGGGGAGGCGGGGCGCGGATGGCACGGCACGGTGCGGTGTTCGGCGGCGCGGCGGCGGGGAGGAGGCAGAGAAGAGCGATATTTAGGAGGGAAAGGTAGCACACGCGACACACGCACGACGCTCGACGGCGAGTCGAAACCGCAAGGGAAATGACGCTACACCTTGCAGACGTTGCAGTGCCACGTTCAGAAAAGCGGGGCGGCCGAGACGCCACCCGGAGAGCACAGTGACAGCAGGCTGATTCTGAGAGTCGTTTTCGTCGCTCTGTCTCTCTCGCACCTGTAGGGAACGCCCCAACATGAGTGCGACAGAGACACAGCGACGAAAACGGCTCGTGGAATCAGTCTGCAACGGTTAGCGCGACTCCTTAAAAAAACAAGGATGGTTTTTGAAAAACAAGGAAAGATGGCCCCCTTCAAGGAATTTCCCTTTGGGAAGTGTGCTCCCATTCCAAGGAGGCTCCCTTGTTTTCCAAGGCCAGCCCCTTGTTTTCTTGGACTCCAGAAAAATTTCCCAAAGGGGCCCCCGCCTTTTTTTTGGGGTGCACTTCCAAGGGGACGCCTTGGGGGTCTCTGCCGTTTCAAGGAACCTCCTTTTTTGTCCGCAAAAGCTCGAGTTACGTCGTCGGCCACGTCATGAGGTCCCCCATGACGTCCCCCTGGGGTTCACCATGACGACCCCCATGTTTCTCCGTGCCGTTGAGGCTGCCCGGGGCTCACAGTGGCCAACGCCGAAAACCGTTTTCTTCTACGTCCAGTACTTTCGGAGATACGAGGGCGTACCACGAGGCCGCCGTCCAGGCGGAGGAGGAAGTGGTGATTTTTTCGAGGGCCCAAAATAGCTTGGCCACGAGCCTACTTGGTGTCCGGGACTTTTGACTTCGGAATCGGGTTAGGGGGGGTGCCGGCCCACCTCGAAACCAAATTTGGGCAATTCCGGCCAGCCGTTTGTCCAGGATGGCGATAAACATCATCCAATCAGCAAAATAAGTCAAAAAAACCAGCTGTTTGACGCCATCCTGGACAAACGGCTGGCCGGAACTTGACCAAATTTGGTTTCGAGGTGGGCCAGCACCCCCCCAACCCCATTCCGAAGTCAAAAGTCCCGGACATCAAGTAGGCTCGTGGCCAGAGTGCTTTGGCCTCGAAAAAATCACCCCTTCCTCCTCCGCCTGGACGGCGGCCTCGTGGTACGTCCTCGTATCTCCGAAAGTACGGGGCGTAGAAAAAAACGGTTTTCGGCGTTGGCCACTGTGAGACCCGGCAGCCTCAACGGCACGGAGAAACAGGGGGGGTCGTCATGGTGAACCCCAGGGGACGTATGGGGGACCTCATGACGTGGCCGACGACGTAACTCGAGCTTTTGCGGACAAAAAAGGAGGTTCCTTAAAACGGCAGAGAAAAAAACCAAGGCGCCCCCTTTGGGGAAGTGAAACCCCAAAAACAAGGCGGGCCCTTGGAATTTGTCTGGAGTCCAAGAAAAAAAGGGACTGGCCTTAAAAAACAAGGGAGCCCCCTTTGGGAAATGGGAGCACATTTCCCAAGGAACTTCCTTGAAGTTTTCCCATCTTTCCTTGTTTTTCAAAAACCGTCCTTTTTTTTCAAGGAGTCGCGCTAACCGTGCAGGGGGTCAGAACCAAGTAGTAAAAACAACGTCAATAGGAGTCCGTAGCGTTCGTCCACAAGCACGAACGAGGAAAAGAAAGATACTTTAGATGTCTTTTTTATTTGGTTTCGATCACCGGTCACGGCGCGCCGTTCCACCACACTGCAGCGGCGCCAAGCAGCAGTGCGATAGTAGAAAGAGAGAATGAAAGGGATTTGGGGCCCATGCATAATGCTGCAGGGGCCAGCCCTTGACCTGCCCTCGCTGCAACATTGATGGACGCCACTCGAGTACAACGGGAAAGGGGTCGCTGCTGCCGGCCAGCCTCGCTCATTTTTGTTTACTTTCATTTGCCTTGTTTTACGAGCTTATTTTCGGACACGCTTAACTACCCGAAAAGTGGCCCTCGACGCCCGGCTAGAAGACCGGTGGAGTCAGCCGAAACTCTAGACGTGTTTTGAGCTCCAGAGTCGCTAATTAATTATAGAACTCGAACCGAACGTGTGACCCCCACCAATGGACCAATGGATTCCTCTTTCGGAGAGCAATCCATTGGTGGGGTCACACGTTCGGTTCGAGTCCTGGCTAGCTGCTATGGAGCTCAAAACGCGTCCGGATTTTTGACCACCTCCACCGGTCTTCTGGCCCACTGTGCTCCCGTCGCCCTCAGCAACGCGGTGGCAACGCGGCGACGCGTTGGACCAACCAAATCGGCCGGGGCCGCCCTCCCCTCGACAGCGTGCCTGCAAATTTGTCGATCGCGGATTCCGCCACGCTTCGCGAGCTTCGGGACACGGCGTCGCGGGACCGCCGCCACACTGCCACCAGGGCGCTGCGAAACCGGCTAAAAAACGAGTCCCCCCAGAGCGCTGTGTCCACAGTGTGTCCACAGCGAGGCGGGGCGTCGGCGCCAGGCGCGGCCCACGGGGCTGGTCGGCCGCGGCTTTTCGGGCCCCTCCAGCTACACCGTAAATCCATTGGCTTACCACTGCAGTGCTGCCCCTTTTTAAATGCCCAAATACGCCCTTCTGATTATCTTCTGGGCAAATTTGGCATTCCAGCGGCCTGGGCCGCCTTTTCTTGACATTCTCAGGCCAAACTTTGGCCATTCAACACACAAGGAGTCAAGCAAACTTGGTTTCGCGGTGTGGTCACCCTGTCTCTCTTGCACGTCCGCGGGCCGCCCCATGAGTGCGAGAGGGACCTCTGGTAAAACTTAAGGAAGTTCTTTGACCGTCTGCGGGGGTGTTGCGGGGCGAGGGGGGCTCCATAAGGAAGCATTAGCCATACCAACCGCTGTCATTGAAACGCGCCGCACAGGTTTTGAAGGGAACAGTGTTCTTTGGCACTTCTAACCATGATAGATTTGCGCAGATTAGTGCTCATAGTGCAACTGCACCTTCTGATCGTGTCTACTCGAGTTCTTTTTATTCCGAAATATTCAGAAAACTAGCCTAGCTGTGGTAGTGCACAGCGGCAACGCCACACGCCGGTTGGAGTGGCAGCCCTGCTGAGTAGGCGAGGGAGCCTGCCGGGTCCGGGGCTGCGCGGCCCCGCGCGGGCCAGCGCGGGCCACCCGACGTTGTCACATCTGCTGCTCCTCCCGCCCAAGCGCTCGCCACGGGACGCGATTTTCCAACTTTCAGAACGTAGTGCTCCTTTTCCTTTTAGTAAAAACTGGATTGCCGTAATAATACGTGTTCTGTAGACATTAGTGAACAACATATCAGTTTTTTGACTTGATGGTACATTTTCTGAGCGAGCAATGTGAATGGAACAGTTGCACTGCACCCGTCCTCCCATAAGAGCCCATGTAAAACGGGTCCGCCAGGGCCCATTTTTACTGCCGTTTTGGGCAGAATTGATTTAGTAAAAATGCAAGGGGCATTCGGAATTCGGCATTAGGGTACTCATACTGCATCCTTACGAAATTTTATAAAAATGTTATATTCCAACGACGGTCAAAGAACTTCCTTAAGCGTAGTATTACCATCTGTTTTCAAGCGTAATCAGTTTACGCTTGAAATCAAGCGTAACAGGCTCATCGGCCAAGATTCCCCCTATCTAAAATGCATGGGGAAATTTCCCGAGCATGCTTCATTTCAAGCGTAACATCTTCAAGCGCAACTTTATGCTTGACTCGAGGATAGAGTTACGCTTTAGTTTTTCCAGTGACGGCGCGAGCCTTTGGCGCCAAAACGGAGACTCACCTGCGCGGCGACGTGGCCCTTCCGGAGGCGCGGCAGGTCCGTGTGCGACCAGCTGGACGTGCCCCAGGGCGCCACCTGCCGGAGGTCGCTGCTGAAGCGGAAGTTGTGCAGCTTGTTGTGCACGTACTGCCGGATGTTCCAGGGCAGGTCGTTGTGCCTGCCGGAGAAACACAGAGCGTCCCTGTAGCGCAGTGGAAAGCGCGTCGGACTTCTAATCCGAAGGTCGCGGGTTCGATCCCCGCCAGGGATATCATTTTCCCTGGAAGCCTTTGTTGTTTTGGTAGCAGTAATTCATGAACCTTCTTCTAAAAGTGCGGCAAACCCCTTTTTAGCAGATGATACCTGTACTTCAAAACATGCCTGGAACAATACAAGACACTTAAAGGTGTCAGCTAGCTTTTATTTGGCACTTTCAACGATGAAATCCGCGAATGCCTTCGCAGTGGCGGCGCCGCGCTGTGCCTTGTCGTACCGGCCGCATTTTCAATTGGAGTGAATGCAGGACGCCCCACCCCCTCCTCTCCCCGCGGCACGTCAGGAGGAGCAGAGACACGGGGAGGGGGTGGGGGAAGGGGGGTTGGATTTGCCTCGTTTATCCGAGGGGCTTGGCGGGGCTTGGCGGATTGCACGGCACGGCGCTTGCTTTCGGCTCGCGCTGCGCTTGGGGGGGGAGGGGGGGGGGGGAAAGGCTTGCTTCGAGACGTGAGGCGGATCGTGACTGACACACTGCGTGCCAATCCGCGCACTCCAGCGGGCCTCCGACTCAAACCGCGCGGCTCAATCCCACTCGAGTGCCTCGCAGAGTGCTGGTATTTGAACCCCGCGAGAAAGAAAACGAGGAAAATGATGGGATTGACTGGTACTGTGGTCTAGACCACACCAACTGATGCTGTCCAAATGGCACCCATTTGACCACACCAGTGGTGTGGTCTAGACCACGTTTGGTTTTTTCAGAGTAGAAAAACCAAGAGGGGTGCTGGTATTCGAACCTCCGACCCGACCTACCCGTCAATGAGCGGCGTCTCCCGCAGCAGGCGTGCCGCCATCTCGAGGCGCTCCTCGAGCGAGGCGCCGGCCTGGATGCGCATGGCGATGGGCACGCCGATGCCCGTGGCGGCGGCCAGCAGCAGCAGCACCATGATGAACAGGCGGTGCTTCGACGTCAGCGAGAACACTGCAGCAAAAAGAGAGGAAGCGCACTAAGTGAATGGAAAGCCCCCGGGGGGAGAACAGTGCGGCAGCAGCACGGCGACGACGGTGGCGCGCCCCGAATTTCGCCCGTTTCTCTGGCTCAGACGCAACGTCCTAAAAGCCAAAAAGGAACGGCGCGTCCACACACACAATCCAGAGGAAGCAATTGGTCGGAAGTCGGAAGAGGGGTGGGGGGAGGCTTCGCGAGACAACGCCAAACCGACGCCAAGCTCAAAGTTTGTGGCGCGCTCTGCGGGGCTCTGCGGGGCGCAGCGAAAACAAGCCGCAGTATGCGTTATGAATGAGGGGCCTCATGATTGGTCATCCGTGCCACACTTGCAACAACAACCAGACTGGATTCAACAATGAACGCATTTTGAAATTGAAATAAGGTGAGACAAAATTCATTGAGCAAAACAAGGAAACATTTAATTTACTTTGCAAGGAAAGGAAGCACTAACTATATTTCGCAAAACAAAAAGGGAAACACACTCTTAAAACCTAACGAAGTATTTTGAGCAAACGGATAACAAACTAAAATACTTTGTTATACGAAGAAATAGTTCGTAAATTACGAAGTATTTTCTTTGTAAGCTTAATGCTCAAAATACTTTGTTATACAAACTACTTTTCTTTGTAAGGCCGAAAATAGTTTGTAAGGTTTTCTCAGTGAAGAGAAAACACTAAATTTATTTTGCAAAAGAGGAAAACACATAATTTAGTTTGTAAAAAAAATATTCAGGGAAATTTTTTTAAGAAAAAGAAAGCTGAATCCCACATGTGTCTCGTACCTTTAGGTATGTTTTAAAGAAAATCATCTGCTGCAAACATGGAGGGGTCGTCGAAACCCTGTTGCCTTTCGCTTGTGTTACCCGGTGTTCTCGTCCCGAGAGTGCTCGACATGAGTGGCCACGCTTGCATGTGCGAAGCGCACGGTGCATATCGAAGTGTTACTGGTGTGGTGGTGGTGCCGTGTCATGCCGTGGCCGTGCCATGCTCGTGTCGTGGCGGTGCCGTGGCTGTGCCTTAGTGACGCAGACGACGTCGACTTGAAAGCAGCCTCGCATGCATCGCAGACAACACGCTGGCTGCGGCTGGCTGGCTCCAGCGGCCGCCGTGTCACCCTGTCGCTGCGTCCGAGAAACACGTCGGCCGCGTGCAGTCTGTCTCACTCGCACTCGTTTCCCGGTACGCCAGCCTGGTTAGTCCGTCTCGCTCGCACAATAACGGTGCTCGGCTGGCAGGTGCGCGTTGATCGCCGTGCCACTCCACTGTACGCGCACGGCCGGCCGGCATCGAGAAAACTTCGTATTTGGCAGACGGCAAACTAACACATAAACTCAATCAGGGAAGTTCGTCTGCCTCCTCTCAATAGAGAGGGAAAGAAGAGAGAGAGAGAGAGAGAGAGAGAGAGAGAAAGAGGGCGAGGGAGAGAGAGGGACAATCGAGGTGACTATCACTCGCAAGCGGCGAGGCTTCGACGCGTCGCACACAAACAAACCTCAATTTTCGCGCACCACACGCGTAATACAATTATTTTCCCACCCTAGACTGGCCTCGCCTGCACTGTAAAACGGTGGACTCAAATAGACTGTGATAAAGTTGATTGACTACGCATGCCATACTGACTGACGGAGTTAGAGTACCCCAAGCATGTTCCCTTTGATTCAGTGAAAAGTCCAAAAGCACGTCGTTTCCCGGTAAAAACGAAACCTGGGATTCCCAGGAGCCCTATGTTATAAGGTATGGGAGTTTCCAGGAGATTCCTGGGATTTTTACCGTGGAAGCGTTTTTACCGTGTTGGGTTCTTTCGCTTTGAAACAAAAGAGCCCTTTTTACAGTGCAGGTGGTGACAGTCGCAAGAAAATAATTATTGACCGGCAAACCGACAAAGTGGGGGGGAAGTTTGGCAGGTCTCGAGTTCTTACAGGTGTTGTCGAAGGCTGCGGGCACTCACACGCACGAGGGGCGGGGCGGGGTGGAGTCTTGGGGCTGAAGGGGCGGAACGGCGAAGCAGAAGAGGCGGAAAAAGCAGAGAGGGGGGGGAGGTGCTGCAGAGCCCCTAATTAATTATTTACCAAGGCGTGACCCGGGCCAAGCGCGACAACACAGCACGACACCGCCCCGCCCCGCCGCGCCTTACACTCCCCCACGCCGCCCCGCCCCCGGCCGGGCTCAAGCTGAGCCATTCATGAATCGTAAATAAAGCGACACGCGCGTACAGATTGCGGCGCAGTCCGTGGCTACCCTGCCAGAAAGAGATCATTTTTCGGTCATCGATTCCAAGAAAAAAGGCATATTAATTAATTTTGAAAAAAATTAAGAGGAGAGGTAAGGCATAGAGCTGCTGAAAAATGAAGTAAAAACTATTGCGTTTCTCGTGGTTGCCGTTAAGCTTCCAGTTAGTCCCACGGCCAAAGACCAAGGTTCACCTCCCGCCAACAGCGAACTTCCAAACCAAACTCCAGGTCGTGTTTTGATACACTGTAAATGTCTTAGGGTGAAAGGCTCCGCACCAACATATTATGGTGGAGATTTTCTCCATAATACCAACGAAATTCGTCCAAATATCTATAAGTTATAGTGAATTCTGAATGGTATATTATGAAGTCAGCTGCACCACCATAATATGGAACATTTCCACCATAATAAGGAGAATCTTCACAGTACAACATTTAAAGTGTAGTGTGCGTCAAGAGTCTTCAGCATCAAACATGAATAGATACACCTCCTTTTAGCATAAGGTTATTTTTGTTGTTTATTATCGAAATTTCTCTCTTTAGGGTAGCGCGCACTCCCACAGCTCTTCACGGCCAAGCCAAAGCCAAGTGCTCGCGGCCAAAGCGCTGCATTCAGTTGCACCGAAGCCTCGAGCGGCCGGCCGGCTGGCCATGGGCTGCCCATGCTGGACACGTCCTCGGTTCTCTCTTTTTATCTGAGGAAAGCTTCTTTCACTCGAGACTGCCTGCCCGCTGCTGCACTCCCCCCCCCCCCTTCTCTTTCTCCTCCCCGCAGCCCAATCAGCAGTAAGAATGTTACTCGGGTTGTGAAACGAAACCACGCACGACTCGTTGCTTCCCCGCCACACTACCTGATTCCGAGGGTCGTTTTCGTCGCTCTGTCTCTGTCGCACTCATGGGGCGTCCCGTATAGGTGCGAGAGAGACAGAGCGACGAAAAACGACTCACGGAATCAGTCTGCTGGTGGTGCAGCGCGGTGCAGCTGGGAAACCACAGCAAGGTCGTCCTCGCCTGGCCCCGCCGCAGATGCTCACGTGGGGGCGGGGAAGTCGGCGGAGAGCAGAAAAGCCGAAACCAAACTACTTTTTCCTCCGTAAAAAAAAGGACGGACACACATGTGCGCGCCGAGGAGAGAAAAGTCCGTGTGGGGAAAAGAAAGGAGACTTAATCACCTCACGATCCCCTCGTAAAAGCTTCTGATTATTCTCAACAGCAGCCGGAAACTGCAATAAATGCGAAGCAGAGCCACTGATGAAATGAATTCCAAACTCGGCCAACTTTCATCGCGCCGGCGGAGCGTGAAAGGGGGGAGAGCAGGCGGTGCTTAAGTGGCGCGGACTATACACTCCAGACTGCAGTCGATGGCACGAGTCGGAATTTTTTTTACCGTCGATTTAATGAGGCAGTCGGCGCGATTTAACGGCGGCGCCGTAAAGCAGGTCGTCCGGCCGGACGAACGCCAAACGCCCTGCGCCCCTCGGACAGCGCTCTTTTTCTTTTTCTTGTTTTTGTTTGTTTTGTTTTCGCTTCCCGTCTCCGACTTTGCCGACGGCGCCTGCGGTCCGGCGGGTAGGCAACACGCCGGCGGCCCTGCTCGGCGGAACTGCCTATCGCCTGCATTGCAGGCGCTCCCCGCGGCGCCGCCGCACTGTGAGGCGGCCATTCTAGACGCGTTTCGAGCTCCAGAGTCGCTAAATGGGACTCGAACCGGACGTGTGACCCCACCAATGGATTGCTCTCCGAACGAGGAATCCATTGGTGGGGTCACACGCTCGGTTCGAGTCCTGTTCAGCGACTCTGGAGCCCAGAACGCGTCCCAGAGTTTTGTCCGCCTCCACCGGTCTTCTGCCCCACTGTGAAACGCGTCGAGGCGCATCACTCACCATTCCAGCGGGGACACGACCACCTGGACGCGCCGCCGAAGCCCGCAGCCCCGTGCGGCTGATGATTGAGAGCGGGGGAAGCCCCGCAGGGACTTTTAATTAACTTTGGAGAAGGAAAAAAGGGGAAATACTAAAAAAGTGTCATTTTTATAAAAACAAGACGTAACGCGGGTTTTAACTTTATATCCAGCGGGGCGAGGCGGGATTGGGGACGCAGCCTCCCCGCCGAGGCGTTCTGCGTCTCCAGCTGCCTGGCCGCGCTGCGCACAGTGGGCCAGAAAACCGGTGGAGGCGGCCAAAACTAGACACGAGTTTTGAGCACCAGAGTCAGTAAACAGGACTCGAACCGGACGTGTGACCCCACCAATGGATTCCTCGTTCGGAGAGCAATCTATTGATGGGGCACACGTTCGGTTCGAGTCCCATTTAGCGACTCTGAAGCTCAAAACGCGTCTAGAGTTTTGGCCGCCTCCACCGGTCTTCTGGCCCACTGTGCTGCGCCTCGCTGTGCCTGGCTCTGCCGCGGACAAGATTCGCAGGAAGGAGGCAATAAAGGCAAAGTCTGGCCCAGGGGCGGCGCCGGCGGGGCCGACGGGGCCGCAAGGGAGCAGAGCCAGAAGCAACCCCAGCGGGATGTCGCCCCGTCCGGCCCCGTTCTTGACGGCCTAGTAGGAGGAGAACCGCCACCGCCCGCGCCGTGTTCCCGTCAAGCAACGACCAGCAGACCGATTCACGGTGCCACCGTCGCGGCGTCTCCCTCGCACTCAGGGCGTGCCGCCGCGGTGCGAGAGAGACAGCGACGAGGCACCGCTCGGACTCGGCCTGCAGCGAGACGACGACGGACTGTCCCGCGCTCCCGT